GATGCAGAGAAAAGGGAACTGTCATACCCTATTGGTGAAAATTCAAACTAGTAAAGACACCAGGGAGAACAGAAGGGAGGTTCCTCCAAAAACTACAATAGAACCACCATATGATCCAGCAATCCCACTACTGGGCATTTATTCAAAAGGAAGGATATCAGCCATGTCAGATAGACATCTGCACTCCCACACTGATTACAGCACTATGTGCAATAACCACGCTATGGAATCAGCCTAGATGAATGGATGAAAAAAATGTGGTACATGTACACAATGGAACACTTTTCAGCGCTCAAAAAGAACAAAATTCTGTCATTCTCGGCAATCCTGGGTGGAAGTGGAAAATTTTATGTTAAGTGAAATAAGCCAGGAACAGAAACTTAAGCACCCCATGTTATCACTCATATGTGAAAAGTAAAAAATTCTGTTCTCATAGAAATATGTTTATTGCAGCACTGTCCACAATAGCAAAGACTTGGAACAAACCCAAATGCCCATCAATGATAGACTTCATAAAGGAAATATGGCACATATATACCATGGAATACTGTGCAGCCATAAGAAAGAATGAGTTTATGTCCTTTGCAGGGACATGGATGAAGCTGGAAACTATCACTATCAGCAAACTAACACAGGAACAAAAAACCAAACACCACATATTCTCCTTCATAAGTGAGAGTTGAGCAATGAGAAAGCATGGACACACAGAGGAGAATGTCACATACTGAGGCCTGTTGAGGGGTGGGGGTATAAGGGAGGGATAGCATTATAGCAAATACCTAATGTAGATGATGGGTTGATGAGTGCAGCAAACCACCACGGCACGTATATACCTATGTAACAAACGTGTACTTTCTGCACATGTATCCTAGAAATTAAAGTATATATATATATATATATATATAGCAAAACAGAGGATACTAGAAGCTGGAAAGAGTAAGGGGTGGTCGGGATAGGAAGAGATTTGTTAAAGGATTCAAAATTGCAGCTTGATAGGAGAAGTAAGTTAGAGCATTCCATAGCATTGTAGGATGACTATAATTAATAGTAATATATAGGCTGGGTGTGGCGGCTCACACCTGTAATCTCAGCACTTTGGGAGACTGAGGTGGGTGGATCACCTGAGGTCAGGAGTTTGAGATGAGCCTGGCCAACATGGCGAAATCTTGTCTCTACTAAAAATACAAACATTAGCCAGGCATGGTGATGGTTGCCTGTAATCCCAGCTACTCAGGAGTCTGAGGGAGGAGAATCATTTGAGCCTGGGGAGCAGAGGTTGCAGTGGGCTGAGATCGTGCCACTGCACTCCAACCTGGGTGACAGAGCAAGACTCTGTCTTGAAAAAATAAATAATTAATATATTATATAGTTTGAAATAGCTAGGAGGACGTTGAGTATTCCCAACACAAAGAAATGATGAATGTTTGAGACAATCCATATGCTAATTATTCTGCTTTGATCACTGTACATTATATGTATGAAAATATCACTACTTGGCCCATATATATGTACAATTCTCATGCCCATTTATAAAATAAAAATAAAGAAGAAAACAATTGATTTTTGCGTACTGGTGTCTTGTACCCTGAATCTGAAGTATTGTGTTACATTGAAAGTATCTACAGCAACAACACAAACGAAGGAGCCGAAAGAGAGGAAAGGTCTAAGGAGACTTCATAAAGATCTCCATCTCGATAGCATAGCAGCCTCCTCTTACGGACATGCGGGTGTTTTGGTTGTTTCGACATGTACTGAGTGTAGCATTCCTCAGGATGCCTGGGGTCTTCAGTGAACCTTCCATCTGCACTACTCTGCCTCCCTCACTGCCCTCTTTACCATACCAGAAACCTTTCTTCTGCTTTAAATGCTGCTGCTGAGGGTCTCTGACTGGTTTTCCTTCTGATAAGGACATCAAAACACCTTTTACCCCTAATCCTCAATAAACCTCAAAGAATGAGTCTTCAGAACATCTATTTTAAAAATTATTGGCCAGGCACAGTGGCTCACACCTGTAATCCCAGCACTTTGGGAGGCCAAGGTGGGCGAATCACAAGGTCAGGAGTTTGAGACCAGCCTGACCAACA